GTTTCCTCCCTATGTTTCTGTAGTTGATTCTTTACTTCAGATGCTATGAATTCTGAGAATTCTTTTTTTTATTTCAGAAAAGCATTCTGCTCAGTTCCTCTGTAACTTTCTGCTGTTGCTTATTTACTATCGATGCTATTAATTCGTAAATTTGAGATGAGGTAGTAGAAATGAATTCTGCTCTGAATTCCTCCATGACTTTCTGCTGTTGCTTATTCACTGTTAATTCATACGTTTGAGCTGAGCTGGTGTCCTCTGCACTTGTTCTGGGTGGTCATTGGGTTTCCTCTATATGTTTCTGCATTTGATTCTTCACTACAGATGTTATTAATTCAGGGATTTCTTTTTTCATTTCCAATCTGAGTTCCTCTATACCTTTCTGCAGCTGTTTCTTTATTTTAGAAACCATTGATTCATTGCGTTCAGCTGTGTGATTCCCAATTTGTTCTGTGTTAGTGTCCTCTGCACTTGTTACAGGTGGGCTTGGGATCTGAGATAGCATTTTGTTCCTTCTCATTGTCATTTTATGTAGCACTGTCTTCTGACCTTTGTCGTAGATCTTTGTTGCAGTTACAACCTTAGCACCTACTGAAGTTCAGGTTCAGATTACAAAGTTTGGATTTATCCAGCTGTGCCTAGCTTGTGTCTGGCTGCTGTGCTCAGCTCCTTCCTGCTGCTGCCCTTGTCGGTGAACCTGTTTTGCCCCTCTGACAAGATGTTCTGCTCCTGGACTAGCTGGGTGGTTCTGTCCCCTATACTCTTTGCAGGTATTGCAGCTGCAGGGTTTCACCCCAGGCCTGTATGCCGGGCCTATGCTGAGTCTGGAGGGGACAGGGTGGAGTAGGGGGGACAGGCAACTCTCCCACACACTCACCGGTTCTGGACTAGGACTGGATCTAGGGGTTCCCAGAACACGACAGAAATTCCTACTCTGTGGCAGGGTGTGGGGAGGTACTACAGAGTGATGGAGGGCGTCCCAAGAAGGTGAAAGAGGGTGTTACCCACACTGCGCCTGGGCTGGGACCAGTAGGTCATGCCACCATAGGGTATCCGGAAGCTCTCTCACATACTCACCAGGCCTGGACTAGGCCTGGATCTGGGGGTTCCCAGATCACGGCAGTAATTCCTACTGGGCATGTGGGGTAGGGGAGGTGCTGCAGAGTGTTGGGGATTGTCCCAAGGGGGTAGAAGAAGGTCTCACTCATGCTGCGCCTGGGCTGGGACTAGTAGGTCCCACCGGTGCAGGGTAGCCGGAAGCTGTCCCACACACTCACTGGGCCTGGGCTCGGCTGGGTCTTGGGGTTCCTGGAATGCGGCAGAAATTCCTACTTGGCGGGCGGGGTAGGGGAGGTGCTGTGGAGTGGTGGGGGGGCGTCCAAAGGGGGTGGAAGAGGGTCTCACCCACGCGCCTGGGCTGGGACCAGTCTAGAATGTATAATTGAAGTAAATTTATTTATGTGGTTTCATAATTAAATTCAGAACTATATCACATACCATAAACTTTTATTGTTTTAGTGCTTAAAATATACTGTATATGATTTAATTTGGCCGCTCTATACTAAACAGTGTCTTCCATCAATTTTCTTTTGGTTATTCTGTGTCATGTAAAATATTTATTTTGGGGCAATAGAATAGCTAATCTTCATGAAACTAGCCCATTATTTCATGTAATTTTCTTACAAACATAAAGACTGAAAGTTGCTAAAAGTTACTAAAATATATGTTAGTGCTTACATACTTTTTAAGTTGTATGTTCTTCAGCAGCTATGCTTAAGTCAGATACAAGGAACACTGTGTCATAGGTCACAGTTGCTGCAGCAGCGCCAGGGGGACCCTTGAGTCTTTGTGGGTTCCCGAGTGGAGATGCACTCAGCGAGGTGCCTGTGTCTCCTGCTCAGGCCACACACACACACACCTGCAGTGCTTCCTGCTGTCTGGAATGGCATCTACAACTGGCAGAGCTCTGAAGCAAGAAAGATTTATTGGAATATTGTTACTCATACTGTCCTGGTCAGTAGAATATTAATGGGATCACATGGATGCCTTTTGGGAAACGGTGAGGGCAGGAACCCCGTTGTCATTTTTTGCATTGATAGTTTGAGACTCAAACCGGTGGATTCACTTAGAGTTTCGCTTTCTTCCTCTGAAGGAGGATCCCAAGGCCTGGCATCCCAGGGCTAAGGTAGTAGCTCTGTTAGTGAGAGGATCTCTGGTTCTTTCTTTCTGTGTTGCCTTTTTTAGCAGGTGGGCTGCTGTCCTTATGTTTGCCGCATAGTCAGAGATAGCTGCTGAAGCTCTAGACATCTCATCTAAGTTCTTGGAAGCAGGGAGGAGAAAGGGACAAGGCAAAATGAGCACAGCTGCCAGCCAACTTACTTAGCCCCTTAACAGTTTTTCTGGAATTCCCATTTATTTACTTCCATACATTGAGCATTTCTGCAAATCAGCAAGGCTGGGAAAGGGAGCTTTCTGGCTTGAGTATTGCTGGACTTTGGAACGGGTTTGTGTTCCCCTTCTGCTCTCCATGTTTCTGACACTTGCTCACTGGATGCTGGCCTATTGTGCATCACCCAACCTAGTACGTTATCAGGAGTAAAATTCATTTATTTGTTTTTTGTGGCCTGTTCAGCCCACCCTGGGGGCAGGGCTGGTACAGCATGTGGTGCCAGGGATCAAACCACAGTCCCTGCATTCTTGCCTAAGCATGCCTAAGCAGGTGCCTTAGACCACTTGAGCTATCTCACCAGTCCAGAAGTAAAATTTAGAAGAGGAGATTATAAGGAATTTTCTCCAGGGCCTCGGCCATGTGAGAGAGATAGCTAGGATCATTTCCCTTGTCTGAGAGATGTGCCCACCCCCCTTATATAACAGAAATACTATGCCTGCTTTACCATCCTGAACTACAATGTGTAGTTTACCTCTGTATATAATTTATATGTTTACATAAATTATGTATATGCTACAAGAGAAATTAGAGACAAAAGTGATTGAAAACATATATAAGTACATCCTTAGTAGAGGAGTAGAAGAAAAATAGATAATTAGCTACTAGCCATATAAAATCATTGTGGCTATGGGCACTAAGCCTAGGCATATGTTAAAATTGGGGACACACATACCAAGGATGGTCAACAGCTTTTATAAAAACCCAAAGAAAATACAAGTGCTCACTTCCCTCTGTTGATGTTTTACCATATTCCTGCCAAAATTAGTGATGTTAAAACTAAGCAAAAAGGAAAAAAAAACTTGCTGTACCAGTTCAGATGATGGCAGAATGCAGACTGGTTTCTACTGGCCAGCAACACCCTGCTGGCTTCAGGGCACCCGCGCCTCTGTGCCTGTCTCTCCGGCCTCTTTCCCAGCCGGTCACTGGGCCTCTGCTCTCAGCTGTGCAGGAGTGGCCCGTGCCACCAGTGACTTCAGGACAGCCCGATCCTTCACACCGGAAGACTTGCATTTCCCACTTTGGTTGGCACATTTTGTTTTAGCTGACGCTAATGTGCAGTGGCTAATGTGGTTAATATGAGGTGTTTTTTTTAATTGAGATTTTAAAAGTCGGCAGAAAGATATTCTTCCATTGTGATTATCGGTTGTATTCCCACCATATAACCCCATGAGAAAATTCTCACTTTTCATTTCTAGTCCACAGACATGCCAGCAGTGCAATGTAAGTGTGCTTATTGGTGTTATTAAAGTCAAATAGACGGCCGGGGAGCTAGCTCAGCAGTCTAAACATCTGCTTGGCAAGCACAAGGACTGGAGTGTGGTCCCCAGTACTGCACGCCATACTGGCCCCACGCAGAGCCAGCCACCAAAGTGGGGCTGCTGGTGCACGCCTGTAATCCCAGCACTGGGTAGGCTAGACAGGAGGATCCCTGTGAGTCTCAGCTGCATAGACCCTGCAAGACTCTGTACCAAATACATACATGAATAGAAGATTAAAATAAGTAAATAAAATCAAACAGAATTTGTATTCATTGAGTGTGTAGTATATTGCAATAGTGTATGGTAATGAAAGTTCCTTTATTTCAGCATGGTACTGTGTTTGGTTTTGTGATATTACTGGATAATTGATGGAGTCTTCTAAGCATTATTCTGTATAAAATATAAGACTTTGAGTAAGATTGTGGTTGGGGTGTGTGTGTGTGTGCCTATTTGTACAAGTAGACACATGCACGGAGGGCCGTGTCTGAAGCCCAGCCTGGGCAAAGCCATGCATCTTGCATAATTGCTCATTTACTTTGTGGGCAGGTGAGCCAAGATGGGAAATCGCTGCTTGACAAGCTGCAACGACCCTTGACTCCTGGCAGTTCTGATTCCCTTACGGCCTCTGCCAATTACTCCAAGGCTGTGCACCACGTCCTGGATGTCATCCATGAAGTACTGCACCACCAACGGCAGCTCGAGAATATCTGGCAGCACCGCAAGGTCCGACTCCATCAGAGGCTGCAGCTGTGTGTTTTCCAGCAGGACGTTCAGCAGGTCGGTTTTACATTACGCTCTTCACAGGGCTCACCCTGAGTGGAGTTTGGAGAGTGCACTGGGACCTGGGGATTTTCTGTCTGGTGGAGTGGACTACGAGGACAGGAGATTGTTCGCTGACCATGTGTGAATGTACACACAGGCTACTGTCAGCCACAGCTCTTGTGAGTGAACACTGAGATAAGGCAGGAAGAACCTGTGAGCTTTGCTGTCCAAACAGGCCATTCCACGCTGTGTTCAGTTGGGAGGCTAATGCTTGTGGTGCTTAGACCGGTGCATTACAACTTAGCTTGGTCTGCTTTGGATTCCTTAAGCAATCAGCTAGTAATGTTTTTGTTCCTACTTGTTAGATAATAAACAATAGGTTCTTACTAATCAGTTGACTCCCTAATGAAAAGTGGACTTTTATGACTTAATTTGTAAGCAGTCAGCACCTCTTTTGTTATTGTTCCAAAAATAAGAGTAAATCAAGTCCCCATCCTACTTTTGTTCTCACTGTAAAAGAGGTTTGTTGAGTAGCAAAGCTATAGCAGCATAAGAAGTGTGATACAGCTTTGGAGGTCAAGAAAGAGACTGTTCCGAGTGGGAAGCAAGTAGTGAGCAGGCACCAGCTCTGGGCGTGAGGGATCTGGAGTGTACAGAGGATGACCTGAAGCCCAGGGGACGTGCCAGGGTCGGACCACTGTGCTTCCAGAAACCTAGTGAGCCCTTGCCACTGTTGAGGCCTGTGTAAAGGCAGGTAGGTGGGTTTCTGTTGAAGGGTGTGATGTTAGCGACCTGTACTGTGCTCTGGGAGCACAAGAGTCTCCATGCCAGTGACTGCCGTATTTCGCTTAATGTACCTGTGGTAAATTCACAGTACTTTTTTTAAGTTTTCTTATTTTTTATTTAAATTTTGTGCAGGGTCTTACATGCTCGAACTCATAGTGATCCTCCTATTTTCAGCCTCCTCAGCACTGGGATTACAGGTGCACACCGCCATACCCCGGACTCGGTCACTGGGTCAGCGTGCCCAGGGGTAGGGCCAGTGCGGCATGTGGTGCTGGCAATCAAACCCTGGCCTAAGCAGGTGCTTAGTCCGCTGAGCTAATTCACTGGCCCTTCACAGTATTTTTTAATGGTGCTCTAATTGGTAATTTTCATGTTCTATGTTGTTTTATTTTTTGAATTCTCTGGAAGTTACATATATGAACTGTCTTAGAAATGATCATTTTGATATTATTCATAGTTCTTTCTTTTTATGTTTTTGGTACAGGGTCTCACTATGCAGCTTGTACTCATAGTGATCCTTCTGTTTTCAGCCACCCCAGCACTGAGATTACAAATGTGTGTCACCACATCCAATCTTGGTGGCTGGCTCAGAGCACCTGAGCGTGGGTCGAGCACAGCATGTGGTGCTGGGATCGAACCCTAGTCCCTGTGCTTGCCTGATCAGGCGCTTAGTCCACTAAGCTATTTTGCTGTCCCTGTTGCTCAGATTTCTTAAAGATTATCTAGCTCAAGAGTCTTAATTTCCAGGGAAAGAATGTGAGGGGGTTGTCTTCTAAGAGGGGGTTATTTAGAGAATGGAAGTTTTCTGGTTGAAAGCACAAATTTGGGGGCTGGAGAGATAGCTCAGTGGTGGTCTAAGCACCTACCTGCCTGGCAAGCTTAAGGACCTGAGTTTGATCCCTGGTACCTCATGTCATGCGAGCCCCAGAAACCAGGCACGGTGGTGCATGCCTGTAGTCCCAGTGCTGGGGAAGCTGGGACAAGAGGGTCACTATGAATGTGATTTGTGTAGGAAAACCCTACACCAAATTTTTTTTTTTAATTAAAAAAAAAAATCATTTATTTATTTATTTATTTATTTGGTACTGGGATTACAGGCATGCATCACCAAGCCTGGTTTCTGGGACCAGTATGGCATGTGGTACTGGGGGTTGAATTCAGGTCCTTGTGCTTGCCAGGCAGGCACTTAGACTGCTGAGCTGTCTCCCCAGTCCCCCGTACCAAATTTAAGAAGAAAAAAACTGTTTAGAAAGCACAAATTTTTTTCTTTTGGAATTGTTAAAAACTCTTACAAGCCAAGATATAGTAATAATTTAAGTGCAGTTGTTACAGAATTTTTCCACCTACCTCACATCCTTTAGATCAAGTATCATAGCACAAGACTGGGTGTGGTGGCGTGCACCCCTAATCCCAGCTCTTGGGGGGCTGTAAACAGGCGGAGCACTACGAGTCCAATCTAGTAGTGAGACCCTGAACGGGTGTTTTTGTAGAAGGGTTTGGGATGGAAGTCAGGGTAGGGTGTAGGAGGTTGTCAGAGCTGCTGGTCACATTTACCCCATGTCCAAATCACAGGGACATGCGGGTGGGAGTGCTTGCTGGCCTTGTAGACCCTTCCCTAAAAATACAAAAAAAAAAAAAAAGGTTCAAGTATCATAACACAGCCGTAGACCACTGTACTTCCTGAAGGGGACTTCTTTCCCTTCCTGAGGGAACAGCAGCACGGACCCCTTCCCTGTGGATTTTTGGGGTTCCATTGGGCCAAGAGAAAGCTGTTAGATTGTTTAGGGGAGGGGGAGGCACAGCAACGGAAGCCTTTCAGAAGAGGCTGAGGAATCTAGCTATCTAATTTGTCACAGAGAACTTAAACTCCCTTGAGCTTTCACTCAGCTGACATGTGTGGAATGGTATTTGTCTGCTATGAGGAGGTTCTTGGAAGGCCGCTTTTTTCCTCAGTAGGTTATGTGGATATCTTCAGTAGAAAGTGTGCTGTGGTATACATCATATATCATATACTATATATAGTGGTCTTATTAGCATTTGAAAGAAGATGGGTATTGCTTATTAAGATAGGTATTTTTTTCTGGATTAACAGAAAGTGACTAAAATGATTAGGGCTTTTTATATAGATAGGAAATTGCTATATAGGATTTACTTGTGAAGCAAAGAGCAAAACTGAAGTTAATCAAAGTAAACATTTTGACAATAGGATGTCAAAACTCAAATGTGTTTCTGAAATTCAAGGAATTGCTAACCAGGAAGTTTTTGCCATATTAAGCATAGAGATGCTGGCCCCGCCCCAGGGGTGCGGGGGAGAGAGCAATTGAGACTGAGCGTGGTGGCGCACCTGTAATCCCAGCGCTACGTAGTGAGACCCTGTAGACCCTGCAGACCCTTTATCAAATACATAAAAAAAAAAAAAGCTGAGGATAAATAGGGAAAAAAGTATTAGTACTTTTAGAAAGATATTATCAGCAAAAGGCAGGTTTGTAGACAAAAACAATAAACCAGTTAAAGACACCTAAGTATCTTTTTGTTTGATTATTTTGGGTAATTAAAAAGCACCTAAGCATTGTTGCAAAAGAACAGTTGGTCCTAGAGCAGGTGCTTGTTGAGGAGCACATGGAAGGCGTCTGCAGACACCCGTAGGAACTGGATATAGGAGAATGGCTTGGGCAGTTTGGTTTTTAAAACTTTGTTTTCATTCGGCAGTTAATTTTCCATAGTTTTTGTAGAAGGGTTTGGGATGGAAGTCAGGGCAGGGTGTAGGAGGTTGTCAGAGCTGCTGGTCACATTTACCCCATGTCCAAATCACAGGGACATGCGGGTGGGAGTGCTTGCTGGCCTCAGCAGGCTGGCAGCCCTCATCATTAACTTGAATGAACACTCTCTGTGCTGTTCCCCGACGATCACATAATACATGTCTTTCCCATTCCCATTGTGCGTTTCCTGTTAGTATCGACATCAGTGAGTGAATAGTTGTGTTACTGCCTGGCTGTGCATTTTACTGTGTGTATGCTTTGGTTTTCTATTCAAAAGCACGTTGTTTTTGTTGCACAGTACTGTGTGTATTCAGGTGGCATGACAGTCGTGGAAGGGGTCCAGGCAGAATGCTGACTTTTTTTCTACCTCACCAGTCCTGTTTACCTGGCTGTGCTTGGACTATTGGGATTCAATTACTCCAACACAACAAGGAAGCGGATAACTCCTTTAGTCTTTTTTTTTTTTTCCTCAAGTGGGCTGACTGACTCCCCTAAAAGAAGCTTGTTAGTCAAGGAGACTTCTTGAACTGTGTCAGCATCAGCCCGTGGCATTGCCTCAGGAGGGAACACCCCCCCCCAGTGTTGGACCACTAATTGATATCACTAAAAATGATCAGATAAGCCCGGTGCAGTGATGCATGCCAACTTAGGAGCTGAGGTGGGAGGAGCTCTCGATCCTACACCAAGTAGAGCCTGACTCCAAAAAACAGGTTTGAGGTCAAGAAAATGTAATCTACTCTAGACTTTCCTTATGCACACTCATTTTTCATTTCAAAATCATTGAATGAGTGAGTGGTACTTCAAAAAGTGTAGAGGTAAGAGTAGTAAAGACTTCCAAGTTCCTTTTCTTAGAGAACAGACAGTTTTGTTTTGGTTTTTTAGCAAAAACTTGATAGTCTAATAAATTGAGTTACAACATTGTCAAATGTAACTTTACTGTCTTTGATTAGTGGAAGGTATAATTTTACAAAGGCATAAATTTGAATAATATCTGCCAGAGTGCTCTTAGCAGTAAGTGGTAAAGAAAACCAGGTTCTTCGTCTGTTACCTTACCTACCTATAGGCCACTTGTTTGTGATTGAGAGATTCCTGAAAGCCTTGCCTATGTTCTTCTCAAGCATGAGGGTCGGTTGTAAAAGGAAGATCAAAAGGCCTACAGCAAAGGTGCAAGTAACACTTACTGTGTAGGGAGTACCTGGGAAGTTTGCATGTAAATCTGAGCCACTCTTGGAAGGCCACAGAGAAGCTAGGAGGTTGAGGAATGGACAGTAGAAATTATAATGAGAACAGGGACAGGAGAGGGCAGGGCCTGCCCCCTCAAACCCTGTCCTGTGTGGATGGAAATGAGGATGTGGAAGAAAAAGTATCACAGAGTCAGAAACATGTGGCCTCCATGATGAAGAACTGGAACTTGTTTCTGGGACAGTGTTGAAGAGATACAGACTGGTGCTAGTGCATTGGTGCTAAGGC